CCCGTAGGCCTCTGGCCTCAGGTACTCAGGCACTCAGCGTTCGGGCCTCAGGTACTCAGGGGCAGCGTTTTTTTTTTTTTTTTTTTTTTTTTTTTCGCGCGGGCGTGGCCAAGATATCGCGGCCGTGGCACAGCCACGCGTAGAGGTGCTTTTGTTTGTCCAGTGGTCAATATGCAACATAGCAAGCCGTGTGATAACACAATCCGGCCAAAGGGAAGGAGAACGAGATGCCGCGGCCACGCCAGCGGAGAAAAAAAAATAAAAAATGTGGCCGAGGCATCTCGGCCGTGGCCACGGCCGTGATGCCTCGGCCACGGCCACGCCAAAAAAAAAAAAGAACCAAAAAAACGGTGCCCCTGAGTAACTGAGGCCCGGACGCTGAGTGCGTGAGTACCTGAGTCCAGAGGCCTACGGGTCCCTTGCTGTGAAACTTGGCAAAACGCGACATTTTTGCTGGCAAACTACAAACTACGGGTTCCCGGTAAAGTTGCAACGAAACCTCTATTTTTGCAAAGGAAACTTCGAACGAACAACATCTTTGCTGCCAAACTTGGAAAAAGCAATATGTTTGCAATTAACCCTAAAAGGTTTGAAAACACACTTGGGGCAAAAACCAGGTTCAATTTGCACTTGGGGAATGTATACGAGTTAGCTTTCTGGTCAGAGAGTGTTGCGTGGGGGTTGTGTTTTGTTCGAGAGAATGCTTGTATAATTAAACTGTTTTTGTGACTGTACTGAAGTTACCCCTATTTTTAATCACCCACAATGCCCACATCATTCTTTGGGCGGGTTCCTTTTTCTTTCAAACCACATAATATCCGACGAATGAGACCGAGAAGCAATAGAAGCGGACTTTAATTGCTGTTCTTGAGACAGCTGTTGCACAGGTGGATGACGGACGTAGCAGTGTGTGTAATATCTTTCTGATAGTCGTCATTTGTCAAAAGTTATAGATCCCCCCCGCGACAAATCGTTTGTAATTTCTACTTGTTAGCCCCCGAACCGTGATAAAAGGTCCGAAAGGGCCCTTAACGAGCCCCGAAAGCTTGGTGGCAAGAGGGAAGAACCGCCCTCTCCCCCCCCCCCTCCTCCCTCGGCCCCCCCCTTTTACAAGCCTTTCGGGGCCTCCGACACTTCGGCGGGGGCGAACAGGAGTGCAAACATTTTGTCGCTGGGGGAATCTATAACTTTTCCCTCGTTATTTCCTCTCTGATACATACTCTATTGCCAGTCTGAACCGCTCGATTGTTTTACAAATTGCCAATTTCTTTCGTCTTCAATCAACTTCATTTATCTCATTGATCTTTATTCGCTCTCGTATTATCATAGTTATCTCTTCGCAGACTAGTTTTGTCCTTAAACCACAAGTACTTAGCCCAGCTGTCGGCCGCGAAAAAAAAACGAGTAGAAACGTTTCTAGTCGGATGAATTTGGCCGCTCCTGTAGTAGCCCGTACATTTCCTAAAATCGTGGCGTTAACGGGCATGACTCTAGGTAGTACTGGTGGTTTAAGGCTGAAGCGTGTGCGTTTTCTCAGTTTAATAGTGAATGATCCGGGAAGCTTCCTTTTGTCTTCTTACCGGTTTGAATCATGTAAAACGTTTTTTGTTTAACTGTGTGTCACACTCAAATCTCTTCTTCTTCTTCCTATTCCAGCGCTATTCCATTGGGGGTGGAGAAGCACCTACTTCCATTTTGGGAGGATTTGACAAGGAGGTAATGGAGGCAGCTCTGCACGTGAAGCGGGAGGATTTGGAAAGCCTGTTGACGTCTCAGTCTGCCGGGGACATCGTCTATCTGAGCGAGCGACGGGCTCCTAAGCTATCGACTCCCGAGAGGAGCGAAGATTGGGAGGTGATGCAGGAGGAAGAGGAGATTCCCACCATTGCTGCGCCTCGCCCATCCGACAACAAGTGGTGGCTTGAGGACCCATACAGCGTTGATGTGAGCAAACCAGACTTTTCCAGCCTCAACGGCTGGTCAACTGTGGTGGACGAAAATAAGTTGACTTTTCTGAAGGAAGTGGACATGGGAGTCTTCCGTGTGAAGCTGGCGAAGGTGAGGACCAGTGCAGAGAGTATTAGTTGCCTCTCTCTCTCTCTCTCTCTCTCTCTCTCTCTCTCTCTCTCTCTCTCTCTCTCTCTCTCTCTCTCTCTCTCTGTGTGTGTGTGTGTGTGTGT